CCTTAGGCATGGAAGCCAACTAGGTGACTTTCAACCAATCACCAGGAGACAGTGAGTTCTAGTCCCGCCTTAGGCATGGAAGCCAACTAGATGACTTTCAACCAATCCCCAGGAGACAGTGAGTTCTAGTCCTGCCTTAGGCATGAAAGCCAACTAGATGACTTTCAACCAATCCCCAGGAAACAGTGAGTTCTAGTCCCACCTTAGGCATGAAAGCCAACTAGGTGACTTTGAACCAATCACCAGGAGACAGTGAGTTCTAGTCCCACCTTAGGCATGAAAGCCAACTAGGTGACTTTCAACCAATCACCAGGAGACAGTTCTAGTCCCGCCTTAGGCACGAAATCCCACTGGGTAATCCAATTACTAACATAGAGTGGAGAGAGGTTTATGGGACTTCTCCATGCTTGGACAGTCCTGTTGCTCTCCTGATTACTTTTCAAACATAAAACTCCCCTCCCCCCGGCACCTTTGTGATGTCCCAGGACACGACACAGAGATAACACAACCATCTGGCTGTTCAAACCGCCCTTTTATTGCTCCGAATTTCCCCAAACGTTCCCCCTCCCTCAAAAAAAATTTCTTTCTCTCTCCCAGAGATTCAAAGGCCCCTCGGCCTCCACGCGGTCACAAGTGGAGGGAAGTCCGGTGCGACAACACGGTTACCTGGTTGGCATCCTGGACGGAGAACATTCAGGGCTCCATCAAATATATCATGCTGAACCCAAGTTCCAAGCTGAAGGTGAGGCCCCAGTCATTGACTTTGGAGTTGGTTACTCAGTGCCAGTTGCCTGTTAGGTACAGGTAGACCTTGACTTACAATAGTTCACTTAGTGGCCGTTCAACGTTACGACGGCACTGACAAAAGTGACTTATGACTGTTTTTCACACTTACGACCATTGCATTGTTTTTTTTGCACTTAGGACCATCCCTTGTGGTCATGCGTCTTCTGACTCAGGCTTCATCAAACTTAATAAAACACAAACTGAATTTAAAAGTAAAACCCTTTCAATGTGACACTGGGAATTACTTGCATTCCCAGCCAAAACTCATTATACACAGTTCCTCTAGATAAGAGCACGCTTTTCAGTGCTGCAGAATGCTGCCAAGAAACAGAAGTCCAATTAAGGCTAATCATAAACCAAACCAAAAACCCGGAAAAAACCCAACCAGAATGCGGAGCTTCAGGAAGGACTTGGGAGATTACAGAACTGCTTTGCTTCCTGCAAAGCTCTTTGTCATTGAGGTCTGATTTTTATCCCTTAGGGGAGGAGCAATCACCTCCCAACCTTACTCCCGAGTCGCCCCTGCTGCTTCAGCTGCTCTCACCTTCTGGCACTTCTGCCCATGTGCACACTGGGAACAGGCTCCCCTTGTTCCTCTTCCTCGCTGCTGCCAGATTCTGAAGGCTCCAGAGGCAGCACCCCACTCCTAGATGGTCCTGGGCCCATCTCCGCATCCGACGCAGGACCCTCGTCCGAGTCCTCTCCGGACTCCCTGACTGGTTCCCTTTCGTCCTCGCTGTCCGATTCCGCTGCCATCCACACCGGCTGCTGGCGATCCACCACAACGTGATTGAAATTTGAGCCCTTGGCAACTGACTCACATTTATGACCTTCCGACAAGCCAAGTCAATGGGGAAAGCCAGATTCACTTTAACAACCGTGTTCTTAACAGCTGCTGTGTTTCGCTTGACAACGGTGGCAGAGGAAGGGTTGTAAAATGGGGTGAAGGCTCATCGCTTCACAACCATCTTGCTGAAGAACAGAAATCTGGGGGGCTTGCCCATCGACCTGGCACGTCAGACGGTCGCAAAAAGGGGACCACGTGGCTCCTGGGATGCCGCAACCATCCTACATATGAGTCGGTTGCCAAGGGCCCCAATTTGGATCACGTGGCTGTGGGGACGCTGCAACGGTGATTAAGTGTGAAATCGGTCATAACTCAATTTTTTTTTTCAGCGCTGTTGTAACTGAATCGTCTCTAAATGAATGGTTATAAGTCAAGGACTGGAGGTCCACACATGTAAAAAGGGGAAGGGCTTTAGTCATGCAGGCGAGGGCATCATTTTGACTTTTCTCTCTCTCTCCCACTCACCCTCTCTTTCTCTCTCTCTATGCCCCCTCTTTCTCTCCCTTTCTGTCTCTTCCCCTTTGTGTCTTTCTCTTTCTGTCTCTTTGTCTTTCTGTCTCTGTCATTGTTTCTTGCCCCCCTCCTCTCTTTCTCTCCTCTCTCCCTCTCTCTTTCTCTCACTATGTCTCCCTCTTTCTCTCTTTTTCCCCTCTTCTCTCTGCCTCCCCCCTTTCTATTTCTTTCTCTCTTTCTTTCCTCTCTTTCTTTCTCTCTCTATATCCCCCTCTTATTCTCTTTCTCTGTCTCTCCCTCTCTTTTTCTTCCCCCCTCTTTCTCTTCTCTCTGTCTGTCTCTCTCCCATTCTGTCTGTTTCTCTCTTTCTCTCCCTTTCTGTCTCTCTCTTCCTCTTCCTCTTTGTGTCTTTCTCTTTCTGTCTCTTTGTCTTTTTCTCTCTTTTCCTTGTTTCTCCCCCCTCTCCTTTCTTTGTCTCTCTCCTCCCTCTCCCTCTTTCTCTCCCTTTCTATGATCCTCTCTTTCTCTCCCTTTCTATGATCCTCTCTTTCTCTCTTTCTGTCTCCCTCTTTCTCTTTTTCTTTTCTTCTCTCTCTCTCTCTTCTCTTTGTCTCTTTCCATTTCTATCTGTTTCTTTCTCTCTCTCTCTCTCTCTCTCTCTCACACACACACACACACACAAGGAGAGAGGGAGAGAGAGGCCTTTGCAAAACTGCTAGCCTCACAACAGTCCTCTTTTCTTCCAGGGCGAGAAAGACTGGCAAAAATACGAAGTGGCGCGTCGGTTGAAGAAGCTAATTCACCGGATCCGACGTCAGTACCGGGCAGACTGGAAATCCAAGGAGCTGAAGAAGCGGCAAATATCCGTGGCGCTCTATTTCATTGATAAGGTAAAGGAA